AAAACACACTAGAAAAATCTTAATATTACTATTTGATTAACTCAGTCAGTGCCATGCGTGATACATTTCAATGATCATGTATCTTTCGATACATGACGGACGAAGCAGATTTTTTTCCCGCAGTAGGTTACCAATTCTTTCTGCAGTAGAACAGTTTCCACACTAGGCTATTGAACCCGGTCTGTCCTACTATTTACCTATAGCTACGGGGAGAAGAAGAGGATTCATACTTTTCCCAAGGGTATTAGCACGTAAATGGGCGTAATGGATTCGACTGGAATTCGAACTCGGCTTTATCCATTACTCCACCGTGCCTCCTGGTAGCGATATGAAAATTCCTTTTTCTCGCTCCGGAAAGCTGAGCCAAAAATATCTTCAGAATGAATGACAATTCCATCCAATCCAAAAGTAACATAAAAAAAAGTAATTCAAATATATAAAGATTAATAATTTATTATGAGTGACATCTTCGCTTCTTTCAGATATACTGAATATCATTAAATTTCGAGTTTAAAAAATTTCGAATTTCTCTATTTTTTTTATTCAAATATCTCAAGATACACCAAAGTTTTTCAACTACTTTATCTTATTACCAATATATATTAATGCATTAGAACATTTAAAATCAATAGCAATAAAATTAAAATCAAAAGCTAAAGATGAACGATGTCTCGCGATACATCAGACGCCAAACCGTTTCTTTATCTTCAACGTTTCTTCATGTTGAATTTTAACCAGCGTTTGTCACATTTTGTCCCTACGTTACACATATGAATATGGGAAAAATTTAAATTTAAAATTTCAGCGTTCTCTCTCGTTCACACGTATGTGTAATCATATCAAGGTAATCATCACTTTAGAGAAAGTCCAAAAGAACGAAATAGGTCACACGAAAAGATTTTTCCACTTTGTTATAGATTTTTCTAAAACATATATACAGGTATGACATGATGACCCATTGATAAAAGAATAAGTCAGTTATTAATATGAAGAAGTCATTTAGAATGACGGAACACGTAACGTACATGATTTTGCATTTTACTATTCATACATGCATGCACACACACACACACATATATATATATATATATATATATATATATATATATATATAATCGAATGGGTAAATATACGTAGGTATACGAGCAAGTGATCGTATACAAATACATATAAATATTCTATAGTATAAGAAAAAACAGTGCTCAGTGTAAAGTAACAGAGCTATTTAATACATATATATATATAAAGCAATAGGCGTAATATCTTACATTAATTATATCCCAGCATGCAGCACCTTTGGAAAATGGCTGAAAACCATGCTGTGGGTTAGCCCAAGCCTTGTGAGCGAAATTGGGTAGACGGAACTCTTTGCGGGGGATGTCTGTGGTTGTTTTAGCACGAAGACACAAGTCATCGTGACCGAGGGTTTGAGCGTGATCACCTTGTTAAACCTGCAAGATAACGCGCTCACTTCCAGAAACTGTAAATAACACCCGCTCAACATAGTTGTATAAACTACAGGTGATACAGTTGACCTCTGTGGGTGTTCAACATAAACAAATATACCTGGGTAAGCGTCTGCAACAGAGATTGACTAGACGCCCTAGTAGACGGGCATTCTCGGATAGGAGTGGCCAGTCATTTATATATATATATATATATATATATATATATAAAAGTGAACATAGAAGTCAACACTTAGAGGCGACAGTCTGTTTCATGCTATATGCAATCG